TTGCAGTATAAACCCTCTATAGACCGAGCTAAAATTTCTGGAGTAATAATAATAATAATAATAATAATAATAATAATAATAATAATAGTAATAGTGGTAGTAGTAGTAGTAGTAGTAGTAGTAGTAATAGCAGCATGCTAGCAATCCAGTAAATTGTGGCACGTGTGTTTGAGTGAACTATTTCATCATGAAGTCAAAGGGAAATAACCCACAATTTAGAATTGTGAATTTGTTCAAAAATCCAAAGATTCAACAGCAGACTCCTTTGAGTTGGAAGGGTATTGCTTATGCCAGCCTGAGGTCCTGATATACATTGAAAAGGTGGTGCATGTGTACAGCAATGTAAATAATTCTGCCAAAAGCCTATGAAAGGCTATTAAATGTGGGCGGCAAAACCCTTTCTGCTGCCACATTTGGTTGTCCAGATGTTTTCATACCTGGTAGCCACCTCACATGGACCTAAGGTGGAAAAACAACGGCCGCTTTCCTGTTGGATTCTTAACAAGGGTGTTTCATGATTGAGAGGCCTACAGCAAGCTATTCATTTGAGTTTCCCCCTCCTTTTCACTGCATCTTATGGATGTGCAGCCCTTTGGAACTGCAGCAGAAATGGGGCTCTAGAGTAGTAGGGGCCCCATTACAGGAATTGCATCCATATGGAGTCCCAGGTGAATACGTGTTTGAGGTAAGGAGGCCTGAAAGGACACAGATGCATGCTTGCCAATACCTGACTTCAAATGGGTATTTTCCCAGGAACCATGCAGCACTGCAGTAGCCCAGGAAAAGACTCATTTCCTTTAGCAAGGCCACAACACATGCTGTGTGTGTGTACATGCCCCCTCCAAAGCACATTTCTACATCAGATCCAGAGCATTGCATATCTCTAATTAGCAAGATTTTTTCTCTCTCTGTTGCTTCTTGTCCATAGTCCAATAAAGATGAGGGTGTGGGGAAACCTCAGCTACAGGATACATTTGGATGTATATTTTAACTGATTAGTTGTATTCCCTTGAATGGGAAGCATTGATTCATTTGCTAATTTCAAATACTGAACCATATTTTAAATGGGGTTCTTCTATATGTCTGGTTCAGGGCAGCTGTTCCCCTCCCATCAATTGCTTATGGGTCAGAAAATTACCTCTTGTTGCTGCTTCTCCACTTCATATGACAAGCTAAATGATCAAGGACGGTATTGGGTTACATAGATTCACAATGAATGCATTAATGCATAACAAATGAAACATGTAACTGCACCATGATATGGATGGCACTGGAAACCTTGGACTTCCTCCAGTGAGGCATCTGAAAGAAAAAGGTGTTCCCCCTTTTCCCTTGATTTGATCTGCACCCCCATAATTTTACAGACGTACATGCATACATTTGATTTGATATTTTGATTGCCAAACCGTTTCTTACCAAGGTCACGAACCTGAAATAAATTCACTTAACCACTTTTTAAAAAAAAATAAATGTAGTAGAGCTGTAACAGTGTCTTTTACATGAGAAAAATGAGAGGCTTTGGCTATGCAACCCAGTGCTAACCAAAGTTAACTACGATGACTTGGACAGAAATCTCATTGAGTTCAAGGACATTTAATTCTGAGTAACATGCACTTCAGATTGCTGTCAGGCTGGGTGATTGATTGCTGCTTATGCAGCCTTGGAGGCTAGGTTGCTGTGTTACATCATACCTGGTTAGCTTACTATTCTGGTTATTCAGGCAAAATATCTGGAACAGAAGGTTTTCTTTCCCCTCTATCTCTAGGAATGTAATTTCCCTAGTGCTTAACTTAGTTTGGTGGGCTTTGCTTGTACATCTGAATCTGGAATAGAGTACAGGGCATGGTATAGATAGTTTTTAACAAACATACAAAGCCTATCATATCCCAAATTCACCTAACTATATCTCCACAGCTAATAGCTGCCCATCATGTTTTGGTGGTAGTCCTTCTAGGCTGTCTACCTTGGAATGCTTTTAGGGAGAAGATCAAGGAAGAAACCTAGGATCTTCTGTGTGCAAGGTGCTAGCCTTCCTTCTTACCTTAAAGCTCTCCCTTAAAGTTTTTTTTTTTTTTGGGGGGGGGGGTTGGATAGTGAAAACATATATATGAACTCCAAAAAAGGCTCAATCTCATAAGAAAGACATTCCAATTGTACTGTAGGTCCTTTTACTATAGCATGTCACAATTACAGCTACAGCACTTACCAAATAAATCTATGCATGTCTGCTCAAACATACATCCAATTATTTTAAAAGAGAATAACACTCCCTAGAATTTCAGGTTTAATTATTAACCAGTTAGATCAATTCATATATCTAATATTTATAGAATTTGCTACCCAGTTT